AAAAAAAAAAGAAAACTAGCATCGAGAAGGCAGAAGTATGGGGTGGGAAATGTACGACTGAAAAGACCACAGCTGGCTATGCTAAACCATGGTGAGAAAGGAGCAAGTGGAGCTGCATGCTCAGAGCTAGGGGCTCTAGCATTCCCGCAGCTCTGTTGTGGCCAAACCTGAAAGATGGGCTGGGCCAGGAAGATGGCTCAGTGGAATAAGCGCTTGCCTTGCAAGCGCAAGGACCTGAGTTCAATCCCAGATATGGGCTGAGCCCAGAAAGGAAAGAGGGATAATAATTGGGAAAGAGCAAAAAGGCTGTGGATTCTGGTCATCAGGGAAGGAGCACAGCACATCAGAGACTGTTCCAACAGCAAGCTGGGTCGCTGCCGGCCAGCTGCTCCCTCTCCACAGCCAGAGGCCACCACCCAGGCAGGTAGGCAGCAGTCACAGTGCTGCTGCCTGAGTTCTGGAAGGCAGGGCTGCCCCTGTGAGGACTGGGGCACACTCCAGCACCACAGGTGACACGTTTGCTAATGATGCTAACAGTAATTGGGTGTGGCATCAGGACAACAGGATTTGCTGTGTGCAAGGTCACTCCGTGGACCCTTCCCACTTACTTTGCTGAATGACTTCATGGTCTTCTCCTCTGTCAATGACTTGGTCATCCACTGCTGAGCCCCACTGAGCTGGTCATCACCTTTGATCTCCACAAAGTTGATTTCCTCCCTCCCTCGGTTCCTCTTACCTTGTAGCCGCTTAAACTAGAAAAGAGGAATAGGAGGTGGGAATCTAGGTGAGGAGATGAGATGTCACTAGAGAGCCAGAGTTCACGGGTGACTTCAAGACTCTCATCCCACTGTACCCCCATTTTCGCCCATCCTTTCACCCTGCCATCTATCAGGCTCCTCTGCTCCTGGTGAAAGACCACCTCTCAGAAGGTCTCTTGGACCCAGGCAAAAGAAGGCAGACCCAAAATTGTCCTTACATGTAGTGAATGGAAAACCAGTGCTGTCAATTTATACTCATTTACACTTTAATAAATTGTATATGCCTAAAAAGAACCATCCAGTTTTCATATCAAAAACAGTGGGAATGGTGACATAAGCCTATAGTCCCAATACTCTGGGAGACTGAGGCAGGAGGATCACAAATTCGAATGCTCCCTGGACAACTTAACAACTTAGTGACACCCTGTCTCAAAATAAAAAAAGGCTGGAGATGCAGCTCAGTGAAAAGATCTGAGGTTCAAGTCCCAGTTACAAAGTAATGGGAAGAGAGGGACTCAAAGTGGACTGGAGGGGGCCTGCCGGTTAGCTCAGTTGTTTTAAGCTCCTGACTATGCAAACACAGCCAGATGGTCCCCAGCTCCACAGGCCTTACCAGACCTGCCCTTAAGGAGCCTGAGCCAGCCAAAACAAAAAAACAAAAAATCTTCTCAAAGTGGACTAGGGTTGTAGCTCCGTGACAGAGCACTTGCAGAGCGTATATGAGGCCCTGGGCTCCCCACCCAAAAAACAAACAAGCAAACTAAAACCCCTGGGCGTGGTGGTACACTGCTATAATCCCAGCACACAGGAGGATAAGGCAGGAGTGCTATCAATTCAAGGCCATCGTGGGTTACACAGTAAAACTCTACCTGGGAGGTGGAGGAGGGGCTGTTTCAGGGCCAGGCATGGTCCTACGTGCATAACTGAAACCACAGCACTTGGGAGGCTGAGACAGAAGGACTTCCATGAGCACAAGGCCAACCTAGGCTACATAGTGTAAGCAGAGCCTAAACTACATAGTGTGACCCTGTCTCAAAAATTTTAAGGGGGTGGTGAATGAAAGCAAGAGACAGGAAAAGGAAT